AGGGACACACACTCAGTCCGTCTCACACCCACCACACAGGTTGCCCCAGAGGCTGGCCTCTGACACGCCTCCCTCATCCACATCCCTCCTTGGAGTGCAGGCACGGGCTGCCAGAGACTCAGCCCCTGTTGGCCCTGGTCACTGTTTGCTGAGCACCCTCCCTGTGTTCAGCACTGGAATGTACCTTCTTCTGCTCCTACAATTCCACTGCTCAACACTGACTATAGTTTGAGTTCAGACCCCTTTGCTTGCAGTGAAGGCCACCATGAGCAGACTCAGCCCCTTTCTGGAGGATGCCAGCGCATCCCACAGTACCACAGGTGGTTCCCTTTGCCCTTCTCTGTTCTGCTCCTTTGCTGGAGCTGTTCCTGCAGCCTGTCTCCACCTTGTCCCGACACAAATGCCTGACCTCCTGTGAGCCTCCTCCCTTGGCTGCCCTCTGTCTTCCAACAGCACCGGCCTCTCTCGTTGCACAAGCCAGAGGCTGGCACTTCCCTAACACCTCCTTGGCCTCCTTCACCTCCATACTATGACACACCATCTCTGTCCTCAACCTCCCAAATCATGTCCAAGGCCAGCCTCTCCTCTGTCTCCAGGCCAGGCTGCCATCGCTCTCCCAAGAACTTGTACCACTCCTGTATCCACTCTTGTCCCCTACAGCCCAAGTCAGCTTTCTGGATCTGGTCTCTTCCCTCTGCTCTATAAAACCCAAAGCTTCCAGCTGCCTGTAGGACAAGGGCCACGAATGGGACACACTAATCCCCTCTTGGGGGCCCTCGGGTCTCTGCCCTTGGGACTCTTATCCACGCCGGCCCCTCTCCCTCCACCAGTCACTCTCCCTCTGGTTAGTACCTCCTGGTCCTCAGGCACCCCTTCTCAGGGAGCCCTCGTATGACCCCTGCAGAGATCAGGCCCCTGGGACCAGCCCTTCCAACCCCCTGCAGGGTCCCCTCCCAGCCGGATACCCTCTTGTCATTATTTAATGTATTATTCATAGGGATTTGTGCAGCCCCTGCCTCCCCTGCAGGACTGTGAGCCCCGTGTGGGCCCGGCTACGTCCGTCTTGTCTGTTACTGTGTCCCCAGCCCTCTCCAGGTAGGTCCCCTCTCCAGGTTCGGTTTTCAGCTTAGCTCCATCCTAAGGCAGGAGAAAGGGAGCCCTAGGTCCCTTCTGTCCTTTCCTCCAGGAAGCCCTCCTGGCAGAGGCCATGGGGTTTCCAGGGCAGCCCTCCTTCCCCTCCTCCCCCAGTGATCACCACCCTGACAAGGACAAGTCACGATGTTGATGCCACTATGGGCTGAAGAGCACCATAGGGCAGGGCTGCAGCCACCTTATGCCCCAACTCTCCAAGCCCCAGGGCCTTGCACAGCCCGGGGCTGGTGGTATCCAACAGAGCACCGCTCTCAGCTCAGGCTTGGGAAGGTTAGGATGGTCAGCCTTGGGTGGATCTAGCAGGAGAGCCCCACAGATTCCGGGCCTGGGAGAGGAGCCAGAGGGGTGCAAGGAGGGGCTGAGGAGGATGGCAGTGCCCTCTCCACATCCATTCCCCTCCCAGAGACCCCCCGCCAGCTGGTTTCCCCCACTCCAACTGGTCCTGCCTCTCCTGGCACTCCCCTCCCTGACCCCACTGCCTGCCCCTCTCCTCCCTTGCCTCTTGCCTTCCCTCTCCCCATATCCTGCTCGCCTTCCCTTTCCCTCCCCCTCCCCAGTCCCCTTCCCCATCCTCTCCTCTCCGCTGCAATCCTCTCCTCTTTTCTCTGAGTCCTTCTCCCTCGCCTCCTTCCTTTCTTCCTGGGTTAAAAATAATCAACTTTCTGGGAAGCAGCAGCTCCTGCTGAGCCGCCCTCCCCACACTTGGGAGCCCCTGAGAATAGCTTTCTGCGGTTCTCAACTGGAGCCCCTCCCCTCCCCCACCGCCCCCCTCCCTGCGAGCTGACTAATAAGCCCAGGCCGCAGCAGCACTGCCAGCTCGGCTAGAAAGGTATTAACCGCTTCGTGCCCAGGTAGCTTGGAGGGGTGTGCGGCCCCCTGCAGGCCGGCAGGCCGGGAGGGCGCCCCCCTCCTTCCCTGGGGTCCCGGGCAGCCTCGGAAGCCGGCTAGACAGCAGCCAAGCCCGCAGCTCTGAGCTACACGTAGTAGACGCTCAATTAATATTTGTGGTTGGAAGAACTTTGACCAGTGACCAGGCTCGATCTGGCTGCTTTTGCATCTAACTCGGGGCTTGGTGGCAGCAGAGGGGAATGGCGGGGCGGGGGGAGGGGTGCTCAGACATGCAACGGAAGGGAGAGGCTGATGCTTCGGGGCTATGTAGAGCTTGTGACTGGACTGGTGAGGTTCCCTCCGTTTGGTGCCCAGGATTCCTCGCTCCCTGGCGCTGGGCATCGCCTGAGGAGAGTCAGGGCCATTCCTGCTACATTGTGGGCCAAGGGCAGGGAGGCGCTGAAAACTGTCCTGGAATCCAAGACCGTCCACCACCTTAGCGATCTTCTTGCAAAAGGGGAAACTGAGTCCCGGAGGAGGCAGGAAGTCTCCTGCCGTAGACCTTAAGGATTCAGGGCCGCCGGAGACCCTCAGCTCCACCACAGGGTTTTCTGCGGGTGTAAGGCTGCGGGGTGCGGTGGACATCAAGGTCAAAGGTGAGGAGTAGATGGGGAGCGAAAGAACTCTAGCGGGCAAGGTCCCCGCTGGCTCCGCCCACTCCGCGCGGTTCTGGCATTACCTCATCGCGGCGCGCGCCCATTGGCTGGTTCCCCCGGAGGCCGGCCCAATGCGGCGGAGCCCGTTAACCCTTTCCGCCCCGCAGGCTCGGCCCTGGTCGTGCCTCTTGTCTCTGCGGCCCCACGCTGCCTTCGGGCGCCCATGGGCCACGGAGACTAGGGAAGGGTACTTGGGGGGCAGGCCAGCGGCCTGAGAGCTCAGTGGTTAGAGCACAAGTCGGCCAGCCTGGCGTGGACCCCTTCCCCCTACAGGCTTCGTGACCTTGGGCAACCGGCCTCACCTCCCTGAGCCTCCTCCGCTTGTTTTCTCAGCTGTAAAAAGACGTGGATGATGTAACTCCTGCCCTTCCTAATTCCTTCCCCGAGTACTTGCCAAGTGCCGGGCACACGTGGGCTCCGCGTTCCTCACTGCCTCCTCACTGCAAGAGGTACAGTTATGATTATGGGTTTTCAGAAGAGGAAACCAGCTCAGAGCAGCGAAGCGCCTCCCAAGGTCACACAGCAAGAAAATCACAGAGGTGGGATTTGACCCCAAGCCGGTGTGCGTTCTGAGCCTGGATTCCTACCCAAGGCAAGAAACTGCTTCTGCTGGGATGTGGTGCTTCTAGGAGCTCCTGGTTTCGCAGGAGGGACAGGACTCCCATCCCCAGCTAGCCAGACCACCAGGAGCCACTGTGACCAAATAATACTAGTGACAACAGCTGAAGAGCCAGGGCCTCTGGGAAGAGAAGGCTTCCTGGAGCAGGCGGGTCTAGAGGTGAACATTTAACGGGGGAGGCGGAGGACCCTTTGCTAAAGGCTGAGGTACTGGATGGAGTGCAGGAAGGGCACAGGCAGTAGGGTCAGGAAGCTCTAAAGAAGCCTGGAGGATTCCCTGGGGTGGACCCGCTGGTCCAGGGTCGGCCACCCAATGCCACCCAATGCTGATGTGGAACATATGGAGACTGCTCACATACCTCACGTCTAAGTATTTACAAGTTATAAATCAAGCTAACGAACTGCTAAATAAAATATGTTCTGTCCTCCTTCCTTGACAAATACACCTTCCTAAGGGCAAACATCCCTGGAAGGCTGGGTTTGTATTTAGAAGTCTCAGACGCCAGGCTCCACGCTGGAAGTGGGGCCTGGGCAGAGGCAGCGCTGGCCTGCAGTTTCCACCCAGCTCCTCTTTTCCTTCTGCCCCAGGTTTCATTCTTTTCCAGGTAGGTTTTTGGTATGGACACTCCAGCTTCAGTGTATAAACTCTGCCCATACCCTAGGGCTTATGGGTATCTAAATGGACAACTCAGACCACCCCCAAGAGGATGGACCAAGGAGGTGGGTTGGGGGTCACTAAGCAGGAAATTCCACGGTCCCAGGTGTCCAGATCACGGATCTCCCTGGGACTGTCTCCTTGGTCTCGAGCACTCCCTGCCCCATGAGGAAAGGCCCACGCGGAAAAGGGCCAGAGTGCTGCTGTCTGGTTGGGACTCTAACCTGAGAGCACTGCCGGGGTCTCTGGGCACTGCTGCCGCTGGGGTGGCCCAAGCTGGGTACAGCGCTTCCCTCTTTTTTGAACTTACTCCTGACCAACACTTCCAGATGTGCATCCCAGGTGCTGTCTCCTCCCCAACCCCCAGCCCAATACTTACCCAAAACTAAGGAGCTTCCCACTTCAAGAAGTCAGCTCTTTCCCTCCTTCGCCCACTGCCCCTGCCCCGATCCAGGCTGGGCCCCCAGCTCCCACTCTGCCCATCTCCCTGTCCAACCTGCCCCCTATGTCTGCCAGACAGATCTTTCTAAAAAGCAAGCCTGACTGACCACTTCCTTCCCTCTCTACCCATCCCTGGCTCTCGGGCTCTGGGTGTAGCATTCCCAGGCTCCATCACCTTTGGTTCTGAGCTCCAGCCGTTTGGACCTTCTCTCCTGTCTGGACAGCTTCATGTCCTTTCTGCCCCGGGCTTATTATTCTCTCTGCCTAGAACCGTGCTTTCTGCTTTTCATCTTGCCAACTGCAGCTCCCTGAATCCCTGGACCAGCAGAAATGACACCAGCACCATAATGAGCTGATTGGCTCTGGAGTTACCTGTTTCGAGTGTGTTTCCCATCTGGACTGTAAGCACCAGGTGGGCAGGCTTGATCCGTCTTGTTCATTGCTCCATCTTCAGTGTTGACAAAGTGCCTGGCCCTGAGCAGGTGACACCGAAAGTTCCCTGGACAGAAGGGTCTGCACTGGAATAGAAATGAGGAGACTGAGGACAACAGAATCTATTGCATGCTTACTGGGTCCCAGGCCCTGTTTTTTGCATAGAATATGCTTATTTCTGGCAATCATTTGAAATAGGATCCATTATTCTCTTCATTCTCCAGAATGAGGACACTGAGGCACAGAGGGTTCAGAGACTTAGGCTCACAGCTGGTAAGCAACAGACCCAGATTTGAACCTGGGCATTTGAGTTCCAACGCTGAACCACTTCCTCCCATCCAGTCCCAGCTGGGCACTTATCTTGCTGTGGGTCCCTGGGCCAGTGTCTCCACCTCTCTGAGCTGAGGCTTATCCATGTGTGCAACACAGGGTTCCAAAGTGGTGATCCCTGAGGTCTCTTTCAGTCTGACATCCTGGGGTCTCATGACCCTGCCTGGGAAGCTCCCCTGGTGATCTGCACCTGCTTTCAGCCCCACTCCCCAGGTCTCAGGCCAAGGCTCTCTGTGGAGGTCCTGCAGGTGATGCTGAGGAGTTGAGTGGATGGAGAACAGTCATGGGTGTGAGGCAAGGCGGGGACTGGACATGCCTATTTCTCCACTGACACAACAGAGAGGGGAGAGTAGCCAGGTGGGTAAGAGGTCAGACTTTGGACGCAGAAAAGTTCATATTCTGGCTCCTCCAGGAAGTCTAGGGAGCAGCTGCGTGGCCTGGGGCACAGCGTTTCCCCCTCCCAGCCTAGGTTTCCTCATCTGTTGTACATCATTTGAGTTGGAGAAACCTCGCTGTCAGAATATCTCACAGTGCCTGGCTCACATCAGGTTAGGGGTGGTCAATACTTAGAAGCTGTGATCAATTTTCCCTTTTTAATCAGTGGGTCCCAGCAGGCAGGAGGCAGGGTCCATGGCTCCCCCAACCAAACTGATCAGGTGGTTCTAGAACTCCTCTCCATTTGAAACATTCCACCTCAGAGAGCCAGGAGCCTAGAGCACTCAGCCAGGGAACCAAATTGTCTTGTCATCATGGTCAGCTGGTGTGGGGCCTCCATCTCCCAGGGACTGCTCATCCCCTCCAAGAACTGAGCTGCCAGGTCCTAGGGCTCAGGGAGAGACTGGAGACTAGTGGTCTATGGGGGCTGAGCATGGCAGGCACGCCCATGGGCACTTAGAATAGAGCCAGGCTTGGGTCTCCACGCCAGAGGGGACTTTTTACAACATCTCAGGGGACCCAGTTTGCAGGAAGGACATGACCAGGACACTCACTTGGGGAAGGGGCTCACCTAGGGGATGAGCTGCACCTCCCAAAGCTCAGTTCCCTCCCAAATCCAGCCCCACAGGGACCTGGTAACCCTGAAATGACATCCCCTGTGACATTTCTGAGTTTCTGCAAGGTACTGTCAATGTGACCCCATTTTACAGATGAGAAAGTTGAGACCCCAGACAGAAGTCACCTTAAGGCTCTGATGCAGGTCAAGTCACCAAATACTCCTGAGGCCCTGGGCTGACCTGGGGTAGGGGTGATGGGGGTAGGAGGGAGTGGGGACAGGTAGCCACTGGACATGGTTCTTCCTGTTAAGCAGCTGTGGTCTGGGTGGGAGTGGGGCTGACCACAGCCCAGGTAAGTGTGACCTGTGGGTGAAAGGGTGGGGCCTGGAGCAGCTCTAGGGGGAGTGCAGACAGCCTCTAGCAGAAATGGGGGCTGATTCACATATGAGAGGGCCTTGCTGGAGGTGGAACTGTGACAATGTTGGCCATGGGAGGGGTCAGGGGTTCAGGCATTAACTGAGCAAGATTTGGTGCAAGGCCCTGGGCTGGAGAGAGAATGGAGGAGGAGAAGGATGAGTCCCTGTCCTCATTGGAGAGGGTGGGGTAAATACCGTGGTGGGGAGATAAGACTAGAGGTTGCAGGAGCCCAGAAGAGGGGCACCAATGCAGACTTGCTGCGTGTTGTTAGGTCTGTGTGTGAATATGTGTGTTTTTGTGTGGTCAGGTTATGCAAGGTGTGTGTACTGAATGGTCTGTGTGATGTGTGTGGAGTATGTCTGTGGTTTCTGGCATATGGAATGTGTGTGTGTGTGCGTGTGTGTGCACACGCGCCTTTGTGACTGTGATCTGTATAGTGGGGTGTGTCTGTGCCTGTGTGTGGTGTGGTCTGCATGATGTGGGGGAGAGTGTGCTGGTGTGTGTGTGTGTGTGTTGTGGGGTGGTGGTAACTGGGACACTCCCCAGGGGAAGAGCTAAGGAGAGATGGAGGAGGAGATGTTAACCAGGAAAATGGGAGAGGAGAGGGGGTGTTCTGGGCAGAGGGAAGGAACAGTGTATGCAAAGGCCTCTAGGCAAGAAGAGGCCACCCCGCCCCCTGGAGCACTGGCGCACTTGAAAGAGCTCCAGTGAGGCTGGGGGGCAGGTAGGGGGAAGGCAAGGATGTGGGGGCTCGCAGGGCGGGCCTTTCTCAGGTAGCTTGAGGGTGTGCATAAACAGGAGTTGGGGGTGGCGCTGAGAGGTGCCAAGCCACACTGACCAGGCAGGAGGGGCAGATGCTGGGTGGAGGTGGGGATGTGTTTGGGGAACCGCCGGAGCCTTGGCCGTGCTTCTGGGAGGCTGCGTGGTCTGGGATCCCAGCCCTGAGCCTAATCCCTGCTCAGCTCCTTAGAGCAGTAGCCCGAAGCTTCTTAGTTCCCCATTTATATATTGGGTCCCTAGATTGTATGCCGAAGGCACAAGAAAGAGCCCAAGAACTGTCCGTGTTTTGGGTGCACTCACTGTGCGTCTCTGGTGAAGGACGGGGTGGGCATTTGCTGAGAAACTTTCCCAGCATCCCAGGAGGCTGAGATATGGAAGATGGCAGCCTTGGCCCAGGACTCAACTGTCAGTACCTGGCCTGAGGGCACAGAGGAGGGAAGGGAATGGGGGGTCGGGGTGGGGGAGCCAGGATTTAAACCCAGGTGACTCCAAAGTGGCCCTCTCACCTGACTGCGACTACGATCATACTCTTCATCAAGCTTCCCCATACTCTTCACACTGGGTGGTATTTTCTCATTTGATCCTCTGGCATCATAGATTCCCCATGGCTATTACACTGGATTATCAGTCCTGCTTCAGAGATGCAAAAACTGGCCAGGATGCAAACCCAGGCAGCACCCCCACCCCCGCCCCCTCCTTGTCTGTCTGCAGCGTTTTCTCAGCATATGCCAGAAAGGGTCCTCAGGCGTGGGTAACAGACAGCATGTGGCAAGGCAGAAAGAACTTGGGCCCAGAAATCCAGCTCTGCTGCCCATCTGCTGTGTGACTTGGGGTGAATCCTTTCCCATCTCTGGGCCTGGGTTCACCCAGCTGCACAATTCACTTGCTGCATCTGAGATTTGTTGAGCCCCTGCTAAGTGGTAGATGAGGAGCCTGACGTTCAGAGAGCCTAAAGGACTTGCCCCAGGTCAAGCAATCCACATTAGGCGACTGTAGACTTGAACCTGGAACCCAGAGTGTGCCCTTCACCTTGGCCTAATCCACAGCCCCCAGGGGGGCTGTTCCCACCCCTAGCGGCCCGCAGAGCGGGGCTCAGGGCCCCACGCGGTTCCAGGCCCTGCCAGCCTGACGTCAGGCCGGGGCCAGAGGGGCCCAGCGCTCCACAAACAGACGGCGCGGGCCGGGCCGGGGGCGGGATGACTCAGGGCCCCGAGACGGCCGGGAAGCGGAAAGTTTTGTGCAGATGACATCACCGGGCCGCGAGGGCGGGAGGGGGCCGGCTCCGGGAAACGGCGGCCTGGCGGGCGGCCCGGCCTGGGGCAGGGCGCGGAGGGGCGCGGGCGGGAACGCGGGGCCGCCACGCTCGGCCGCGCCGAAAACACACCGACCCCCACCCGCCGCGAGCCCCGGGTCCCGGATCCAGGCCCCGGAGCCCGATCCCGCGCTCGCGGGCGAGGAGCGAGCTCCACCCGCCTGCGAAGACGCCGCGCTCCCCAGCGCTCCGGAGGCAGCCGCATCCATCCTGCTGCGTCCCTGCATTTTAATTACCGTCGTATTAATATTCATGAGCCGGGACTCGAGGGGGACCGCGGGCTGTCATTTCCCTCGCCCGCGCACCACCCCCCGCACCCCCTCTTCCCCGGCTGAGTCGTGGGGTTTTTTTCCCTGCCCGCTCCCAGCCCCGCCCGCGCCAACAGTTGGTGCACAGCCGACTTGAAAGGGGGGGGTGTGTGAGTGTGAGCGTGAGTGTGAGCATGAGTGTGAGCTGGTGTGGGTGCCAAGGGCAAGAGTGAGGGCGGAGCGGAGACACAGGGTGAGGGGGCTGAATGTGAGTGTGGAATGTGCCCTCGAGGTCTGAGTGTGTGTGTCTGCCTGTGTGAACAGTGTGTGCTGGTGTGAGCATGCGCCTGTGCGCACACGTGTAAGCCTATGTGAGTGCCTCTGTGTGTGTGTGTGTGTGTACGTGTGCACGCGTGCCTGTGTGTCTCTGGGCAGTGCCAGGGACCGTGTGCAGGTCTAGGGGAGGCAGCTGTGTGTGCAGTCCGGCATGGAGCTTGGGAGAAGGGTCACAGGGCCTGACTATCAGTGGGGAAGTTGAGGCCTGGGGAAAGGCTGGGCCTTACCTAAAGTCACCTGGTAAATGGGTGGCACGAAGAGACAGAGCCTGTGACCTGTCTGTTGGGTACTTTCTGCTCCCTGCTCTCCTGTGCTGTTTACAACAATGGCAGACAGGATGTGCTGAGCTCCCCAGCAAACCTGGGCAGCAGGCGGCTCTATCACTCAGGCCCCTCTGTCAGTCAGGCCCCTTCTCAGACAGGACACTGAAGTACTGATCTAAGTTGTGAGAGGTGAAGCTGGAGCCCAGAAATGTCTGAGGCCAGCGCCCCCGACTTCAACAACCACACCAGGCTGCCCTCTGTGGAATTGTGTGTGGGGATCCCCGCTGGGGCAATGTCGGGGTACCTGAAATTTCCTCAGGGATCCTGGTACTGCCTGTGCCCAGGCATCAGAGAAACATGGCTCATGATCTGTTTCCCTCCCAAGCAGGGCCTATGCCCCTGGCGCTTCTGGTCCCCTTACTTGCCTCCCTCGAAGCACCCCCCCAACCCCGCCCTACACAGCAGGGGCTCCACAGGATGCGGGAGGTCTTGTTTCACAAGGCAGCAGGCAGACAGACTTCAAGGCTCCTGGCCCTCCTCCTTGGGCCCGGGGTCAGGCAATCACTCCTTCATTCATTCATTCGTTCATCAACCAATGCTGAAGACTGCTCTGGCAGAGACTGCCAGAGACTGCTCTCGGCACTGGGGATCCTCTGAGTTTGGGAGGAGCACACACTACACTGTTCCCAATTCTGGTCATCTCCGCCCCAGCGTGCGGGCCTCTAGGCTCTAAGAGGGGGCTTTCAACTCTCTGCGCGCACGCTCCCTAGGGGTGGGGTCTAGGGCACCTGTGCACAGAAGACGGCTTCCCACCCCCCGCCTTGCCTCAGAGGTCCAGGTGCACGCATGCTGGGAGGGCCCGGCAGAAAATGGCTTGTTGTCTCTGGGCTGGTGGAGAGCTGGCCAGACCATGCTAGGCAGCCTGGATCTTTTCTTCCCTCTCCTTCTGGAACTTGTCCTTATCCTGGCCTCTAAGCCAAATAATCCCAGGGGCTGGCTGATCCGTCTTTCCCTGGGTGAGCCAAGGCCAGCCTCCCTCTCACGTCCACCCTGCCCAAGTCCTGCCCTTCTGAGCACCCAGAACAAGCCCATCATTCCCTCCTCTCTGCCCACGCGGGGCTGGGCTGGAACTCATGTTCCAGCCAAGTCCCCCGAGTTTTTTCCTCCCCTCTTGGGGAGCTCTATGGGAACAGATAAGAGGACAGGAGGTGCTGTCTGGGACTCTCTGAGAGGAAGCAATGGTTCCACTGGGCTTCACAGGTTAAGTAGGAGTTTGCCCTGTGAATGGCGCTGAGAAGGGAGGAGAGGCATTCCAGGCAGAGAGAATGGCTCAGCGGCATGACTGCAGCCCCTGTTCTGGGAACCAGAGCAGGCCAAATGCATGAGGTCTGCAGTGGGGGAGTGAAAGATTTTCTCCTGAGAAGCCAGAGGCTGTACAGCCTAGTGGTAGGGGCTCTAGGCTGAGCCCACCCTGGGTGAGAATCCCACTTCCCCACTCACTGTACGAGCTTGGGCAAGACACTAAGCCCCATTTCTCCATCTGTCAAATGGGGAGAGCAACATATCTTTTTTCTGGATTATCTTCAGATTAAGAGATACTGCCCGGAAAGCGCCCAGCATGGTGCCTTGTGCTTCTATATGGGACAGTCTGTCCTCAAGGACACAGGGAGGCCCCTGGGATAACTGTTCCCATTTAGCCCAAAAATGAGATTTAAGGATCAGCCTGTGTCCCAAAGCCTAGCCCAAGGGGAGGAGTTGGGATGCAAACAGACTTCTGGGGTAAGCAGGGACTGGCTGAAGCCATCAGTCAGGGGAGGCTCACGCTCTAGGTAAGAGGAAGGTCTCAAAGCCTGGTGGCCCCACCTGTCAATCTCTGAGAAGGGGCTGCCAGCCCATCACTCAAGCAGCCGCAGAGCCAGCAGTCAGAGAGGCCACCTGGGCCCACCCATCCTGGCTCAGTCCTGCTGCAGCCGCCCACGCCTCTGCCTCCCAGTCCCACTCTTTCCTTTGAAAATTTTCTTTTTTTTTTTGGAATAGTTATACCTTTAAAAGGCAAAAAAAAAATTTTTTTTTAAGGAAGCGCTGTAAAAGTTCATGCAATACATAGCAACTCATCCTTCTAGTTTTCCTGTGTGTCCTTTCTAGTTCCTCTGCCGAGAGGACTGTCTTTCTACAGCTCCCACAGGATGATAGCCACCTCTGCTCAAAGACCTTCGATGGCTCCCCACTTTCATACAGCGAAGGTAGCTGCCTAGGGCTTTTAGCAACACCATCCGAGTGTGTTACCTCCTCTGATGCTGCTACGCCTCTGCCCTTGCTGTGCCTGCCTCCAGTG